GTGCACACCTCTTGGCCATCCATGCGTGCCACATGCCTAGCCCATCTCATTTTTCTTGACTTAATCACCCTGACAATAGTGGAGGAGTACAAATTTTTTAGCTCATCATGCAGTTTTCTCCATACCCCATCCTATTCTCACCTTGGCCCAAATATTCTCAAACACCTGCAATCTATGTTCCTCACTCAGACTGCAAGACCATGTTTCACACCCACACAAAACAACGGGCACAATTGTTGTTTTGTATATTTTAGTGCTCAGAATATTGTAACTGAATTTGAAAGGAAGGATGATATTTATTTTAAGTCTGTACCACATGAAGAATGTTGTGAAAATTGTAGAGAGAAACAACTAATTCATCTAAGAAATTGTAAATAACGTTACATGTTTGCTCCTCCAGCAATTTGTTGTTAGCAAGTATGTACATATACGTATGTCATTGGAATAATAATTTTCGGTTGCAATTTAAAAATTTTGCTGCGGTGAAAATGTCCACGGTGTCTTGTGGGTTATAGTGTAGTGTTATAGACCTTTACCAACGCTTTAGATATACTTGCTGCCTGCATGATGATGGGGGACAGCAAATAGTGCTGACACATTGGTAAGCTATCAGACTCCACGGTGCTACAACCCAGCACCGCCGTGAAGCCCTTCAAGTCCACGGTGGTCTTTTGGGTTGTGACGCTGTTTGGACTCGCCAACCACGGTTGCCAAACTACAAGTCCTCATGGAGTCACAACCTGGAAGTCTTTCGTGGAAATGTTTTAACGCAGGTTGGTTTCCTGTTTTTGTGATGGTAGATGGTACTGATCGTGTGTTTATAATAGTTCGTGTATTTATTATAATTATATGATTTGAAGGAATTTGTGATTGTTTGGTGGATACATTTTTTATGAAATTAAATAATGTAAGTGTTATAGAAAATCAGTTTGTCAAAGCCATTGGTTATCAACCTGACTGTTGTCGCTGTTACTACTAACGCTGATGACTATATGAGAGTTATTGTTTAGATAATGGTTTATAGCTGTTTCTTTTAAAAGTAAGATAGTTGGGATGTTACGTTTGTTTCTAATGTTTTGATAAGTTAATAATAAGACATAAGTCGTTAAGCTCTGATGGGTTTAATATTTATTTCTTACACAGAAGAATTTATCAATTGGAAATTCGTAAATTCCGTAAATATATATGTAAATAGAATTAACAGCTGTGTAGTGATGGTATTTGCACTGCGATTAATTATTGTATTTGTATTATGTTCAACATCCTTGGCTTGAACTATGAAGGATCTATGCAATGTAAATATATTCTGTTCTATTCTATGAGCATATTGATTTTATATCAATTTATAACGTAGATGAGTGCCATTGCACAAACCTAAAGCTTTCTTTAATGAATATGTGTTTATGTAAAGTATTTTAGTTTTAGTTTGTGACTGATGCAGTTGAAAGACACACCACCAACATCTCCATGTAGCAATGAAACAATGGATTATAATGAACTGTTTGAAGATGAAGTTGAGGAGGTTATTGATGGTGAAGCTGCAAGTAGCAATAATTACATAGAAGCAAATGATGCAAGTGATGAAGATATTGGCATAGGCTTAGAAGGCAGTGAAAATTCTGAAGGAAATAACCCTGTGAGGGATGATTCAGCATCTGTATTTTCTCATCATAAAGGTTGGTACTTTCTTATCATAAAGGTTAAACTGTGCCAGGTGGATGTGAAGACATTGATGTCCAAAATATCTGCTGGATATTTAGTGATGGAATGAGGAGAGAGGTGTGACCTAGCCAGTATACTGTGCTTATCACCTTCTCAAATTGAAATTTGCATCTAGTAGCAATATTTCTAAAAGCAGCATGTTGATTTTCAACATAATAATGATAATGACAGCAGTTAAAACTGAAATACAATGTGCATGTTGAATACTTATTATATTCTGTCCCAGACCTGTTTGTTTCTTACATGTGACAAGGTACTTTCTTTTTTAAGTTTGTCAACACAGATTACAAATGTAGTTGTTTCCCACAGCAGGAAATGTTTGGTTGCACATATCTTGTAATGGAAACCACATGCCTGAGTTTATGTAAAATCTGTATGTGCATTATCTTGAAGTGGAATGTTGTGATAAATCTATTTCTTTGCCTTATTCCGAGTATATATTATTGAAGCAAATGTTTCTTACATAGGTTCTGTGTTTTGCTGCCATTTACAGCCAAAGGCTGGCAGATTGGCTGTGACTGGAGCAGAGGATGATATGGCATATGTTTGGGAAACACATTCAGGAGAAGTAGTGTTACAATGCAAGGGCCACAAGGTGGGCATTATATTTGTAATTCATTCAGTATAATAATGAGTAAACAGAATGACAGTAGAATTTCAATATCAGTTTACTTGTATAAAGTAACTGAATATTGTTGGTGATTGGTTTCAGCTTGTGCTCAAGGTTCATATCTTAGTCTGGAGACTGACTGACCTGACTAAGGTTTTCCTTGGTTTTCCTTAGTCTCTCCAGGTAAATTCCAGGACATAACATTAAATTAGACCATTACCAGTTCCTTTCACATCCTCTACAGTTAATTATTCACTAATCATAATTTGATGCTATATAAGCTTAGCAATTGAAAATGTCTTTGAATAGATGAAGAATAGATAAATATTAACCTTTTTGCCTCAAAAGCCTTAGAGTGCATAGATAGGATGTGCAAAATACAGCTTCTTCTGCCTAATGTCTACCTGACTTACGCATGGTTCACCTTGTTATTGTGGCAATGAAGTTGTGGTGTTACAACCATTACATCTGATGTATAGGAAATCTTCCTGCCCATTTCAGCAATAGAACCATGATGATAATCTAATTTTTGATTTCGTATGTGAATTAGACTGTGGTTGTGTTGATTCATGAGCTAACTGTCCTATATATAACCTTAACATTTATGTAAGAAAGAGTATTCAAATTAACTAGTCTGATAATGTCAAGATAGAGTGAATTTCTATGGTGCACTGAAGGATTATTAAGTAATACTTTATTACTTTTTCCTTACATTTTGAAATTTGCCTTTGATGAGTGTCAGTTTTTGTGTAAAAAATAATGGGGAAAGTATGACTCTTTGAAGAATGCAGTGTTGTATATGATCAGATATTGCGTGAGAGTAGTCAGGAAGATTTTCTCTGATACGATATTTCACTGTGTCGTGTACAGGACTCTGTGACCTGTGTTAGATTCAACTATGATGGGTCTTACGTTGCAACTGGAGACATGAGTGGTGTCATACAAGTATGGAAAATAGCTAACAAGTTACAAGTATGGGAAACATGTATTGGCGACCTGACTGTAAGTAATACTACGTTTACATTATGAGTTGTATTTGTGTATAGAAAATCAAACAAATGAAGCAACATATTGCAGAACCACAGTAGTGGCACTGGATGTTGTAAAATTGAATAGAAATGGGTGTTGTGCAGTGAAATTGTGGTGTTTATGTACTCCAACTATAAGTACTGAACATCACAGCCACGTGGTTAGCAGTCATGCTTCTTGTTCAGGAAGTTCCAGGTAAAAACAACAATCTGGAAACATGTTACTGTGTCTGAGGTTTTTCACGGTTTATCTTTATCCCTTCAGCCAAATACTGGGATTGAACCTTAAATGCAGCCATAACCACTTATTTCCAAATCCTTTGCAATGTATTATTTATTAATCATTCTGTCATTTGTTGTTATGTGGTTTGAGCTACTGACAGCATCATTAAATGATCCATATACATAATTAAAATAAATAAATGTTAGTGGATTTACTTAATAATGTAATAAGCTTGTGGTAATTAACATTACATTTATTTACTGTAAAATCCTTATTTAATTATTTTCCTGGTCTCATTGTGAAATGTTAATTCTTCTTGGATTGTCTCCTGACTATATAGCATCAAATAATGTATGATAAATGAATTGGAAAGGTCGTAGCTTAAATTAAGGTACTTTTCCGCCAGTTTCATGGAGGGACTGGGAAACCTCAGTCCTGGATAGTCATCTCCAGGCTGATGTTTGAACCTGGGACCTCCTGAATATGAAGCAGGAGTACTAACCACTTGGCTGCAACGTTTAAATAAGACTCTGTCTTGCAGTCATGCACTGTTTGCAGTGGCTGAGGTGGCATCACGGAGCAAATGTCTTGCTAGCTGGAACTGAGTCGGGGGAGGTATACGTGTGGAGAATTCCAGGAGGAGAATGCAAAGTGTTGCCTGGCCATGGTGACAAAGCAGACTGTGGACTCATGTTGCCTGATGGTATGCAATTTATAATAAAATTATGACTTTGCTGTCAGGCAGTACGTGGATTTTTATGTCCTCTTTTTATTTTTTTGTATGTTCCTTGCATAGAAACTGTGAAAACTGAAGAAATGAAAGGATTTTGTGTATAATATAAAGGAAATAGATCCCCATAATTTGGAAGGGCACTTCATGCAGAATGTACAAGTATGCCAGCCATTATCATTATAAGTTGCTTTTTATGTGTCCTTTGCATGATGGGCTGATCATGTCTGTCTGTCATCCGCGTGGTTCAACTCAAAAACCATGGGACGGATTTGAATGAAATTTTGTATGGTCATTATTTGAGTAATTATTTGAGAAATAAGTGCAGCAGGTACTGTAAACGTTCTGATAATATCCCAGGTGGAATTTTTTTACCTTGCCATTTACGTCATGAAATACGAAGTAGAGAGAATGAAATTAAGATGTAAATTTTTTTAATTTCCAGGCAAACGTATGGCGATAGGTTATGCAGATGGCTCACTTAAAATATTTGACACAAAGACTGCGACAGTATTACACCACGTACCTCAAGGACAAGCTCACACTGGTACAATTACTGACATGGACTGCCATCCTGATAACAACTTGCTTATCTCTAGTAGTGTGGATGGACATGCTGTTGTGCTCAAAACTCAAACTGGAAAGGTTAGTAGGCCTGTATTATTCTGACAGGAACTCTGAAGTACGAGGCTCGTCCTTAAAGTAAGTTTCCCTGGGGCCGTTTACAGAAACAAAACACAATTTCATGGAAATATTTATTGCAACAGATACAGCAAGTGTCTAGCTATTTTTCAACATATTCGCCACCGGATTTGAGACATTTGTCATACCGTGGGACCAACTTTTAATACCTGTGTCGTAGAAGTCTGCCGCCTGGGATTGGAACCACTGTGTGACAACCATCTCCGCCTCTCTGTCATTCTCAAAACGCTGACGCTGACGCTGACCGGACAGGAATTTCTTGCGGTGTAGGAAAAGATGGAAATCACTGGGAGCGAGGTCCGGGCTGTAGGGTGGATGATTAAACACCTCCCAGCTGAACTCCTGCAGGAGACTTGCTGTCCGTCGAGCCGTGTGCGGCCTAGCGTTATCACTGACCGCACTTCACAGTCGGCGGGAGCTGGAATAAGAACCTCCATCTTCAACAGCTGCAACGATGCTACTGTGAGAACGCGGGAAGTGCCGTTAGTGCATGCGCCATGCTACGTCATTGCTCTATCACGTACGCACAGTCGCTTCGAGCAATATAAGGTTTGCTAGCTGTGGGACGAGTGGGAAACTTACTTTGTGGACGCGCCTCGTAGATACAAATTGAAGAGTTTACTGACTATTGAAGCAGGTGGAACATAAAGTTAAAAACTTTTATCCTGTAGGACGAAAAGTAAACGGGAAAATTCGCGGCATTTTTGCTGTTAATTAGCCGTCATCTGTTACATTTCACAGTTGGAATTATTGTACGTTTGAAAAAGTGATAGTGGAACCACGGTTCCGGAGAATTAGACCTAAATACGTCTATACGGAAAGGAAGTTTATATATTGGCTTTATTCTAAATATTTCCTTTATACATGCTTTACAATTGAGTAAAGTTTGATTAAGACTTTGCTTATTTAACTTGAATTAGTTACGCTTAAGATGGGTCTGTGGTAGCTGAATGTAA